TTCCACCACATCCCAAAGATGCTCTATTGGGTTGAGATCTGGTGACTGTGTGGCCATTTTAGTACAGTGAACTCTTGTCCTGTTCAAGAAACCAATTTGAAATGATTCGAGCTTTGTGACATGGTGCATTATCCTGCTGGAAGTAGCCATCAGAGGATGGGACATGGTGGCCATAAAGGGATGGACACGGTCAGAAACAATGCTCAGGTAGGCCGTGGCATTTAAACGATGCCCAATTGGCACTAAGGGGCCTAAAGTGTGCCAAGAAAACATCCCCCACACCATACCCCACCACCACCAGCCTGCACAGTGGTAACAGGCATGATGGATCCATGTTGTCATTCTGTTTACGCCAAATTCTGACTCTACCATCTGAATGTCTCAACAGAAATCGAGACTCATCAGACCAGGCAACATTTTTCCAGTCTTCAACTGTCCAATTTTGGTGAGCTCTTGCAAATTGTAGCCTCTTTTTCCTATTTTTAGTGGATATGAGTGGTACCCTGGGGTCTTCTGCTGTTGTAGCCCATCCGCCTCAAGGTTGTGCGTGTTGTGGCTTCACAATGCTTTGCTGCATACCTCGGTTGTAACGAGTGGTTATTTCAGTCAAAGTTGCTCTTCTATCAGCTTGAATCAGTCGGCCATCTCCTCTGACCTCTAGCATCAACAAGGCATTTTCGCCACCACGGACTGCCGCATACTGGATGTTTTTCCCTTTTCACACCATTCTTTTGTAAACCCTAGAAACGGCCCTCTGGCACCAACAACCATGCCACGCTCAAAATTGCTAAATCGCCTTTCTTTCCCATTCTGACATTCAGTTTGGAGTTCAGGAGATTGTCTTGACCAGGACCACACCCCTAAATGCGCTGAAGCAACTGCCATGTGATGGTTGATTAGATAATTGCATTAATGAGAAATTGAACAGGTGTTCCTAAAATCCTTTAGGTGAGTGTATGTTGACTAATATTCATTTTGTTGCTTTGCATGTTTTCATGTGCACAATGTCTTCCTTGCCATTTTCAGCCACAGCCGTTTAGCAAAGTTTGATGCTATTCTGATGCTTTTGATTGGTTCTCATGTTTAAATTGGCAGTGCCACCTGTCAGTGTGCCAGTTTAATTTCCCCTCAAGTTGTCATTTGAAAATGGTTAACAGTTAAAAAACATTCATTAGAAATTTAGAAAAGTAATCAGAAAGTAATTAAATGTAATAAGTTACATTACTTTGACAAAGTAATTGAAATAGTTATACTACTATACATTTTAAATAGGGTAATCTATAACATTTCTAAAATAACCTCCCAACACTGCTAATTTAAACCAGCTAAAACACAAATCACAATATTTCACATGATTTGCAGTAATGTTTTCCTGTCCAATAGGATGAAAGCCAACTCTGTGTCTGTTTTGAAAACAAAGAGGTGGTCTTGCCGTGACTCAAGCGCTTTTCCAATGTTGACCGTGTTGTTGCCTGACATCAATCTGATTCTTGTTTGGCCAGAGGGGCTTCAGCAAATAAAACTTTTTTGTTGTTTTTGTATCTTTACATGGAGTTTGGGTCGGAGTCTGTGTTATGCTGGGAGCCGGTCTTTTTGATGTTAGGAAACTCTATTTCGTCAGCTGTGGTGTTCAGGAGAATCGGTATGCAAGACGCTTGGGAAAACACGTGAATGTCACAGCCTACGTAAGCCAATGGATTTTGCGGAAAACCCTTTCTTCCTATAGCATAGAGGCTGTCACAAGCAACAGAAAAAGCTAGCGAATGGTTCATTATTATGTATGGTTACAACCCATTAACAAAAAAAGTGATTCATTTCATTTAAAATATTGCCCCTTTAAGTTAGATGTGAAAATATTCTGGCTCTACACACTATCACTGACTCTCTGATGCCCGACCTCCCTCTCGCTCCTCCCTCGGCTTGACACGTCTCCTGTTCCTGTCTTAACCTGCCCTGTCTTCACTGTCCCCGGAGTCAGAGTCCTGGTCAGAGCCGCTGTAAATCACCTCTGTACTGTATTCTCTGTTGTCAAACTGGCCTCTGTCGGTCACAGAGGTTGTGTTTAGTCCCAGGCCGGCTCCGATCACTGGGAGGCTGCTGTGCCTGGTTCTGCTGCCACTCGTCTTCCTCTGGTTCTGGTAAGTTAGCTGCATGGCTAGCAGCAGTTATGAACTGATAGGCGACACGCTGCCCTCTGTTTTTTTGCAGGTGGAGAAAAATCTCTATACACATTGCATGTCTCTCTACAGACTGAAGTTTTAGAACAGTGAGGCATCATGGGCACATTTCAGATTATGATGAAACACTGAGAAAGAGTGTGTGTGTTAATTATACTGACTGTTGCACAGGTGAGGGGAGGGCAGCGTTCACTATGACAATGTACGTCTCCAGACACACACGTACAGCTGGTGCACTCATCTACCTCCCACTGTTCGTTACAGCGAAACGCTGTTCCCTGGTACATACACGACACTCCTGAGTCTACAACACATGCAAAGACACACAAACAGGAACCATGTTAAAACTTTGAAAAAACACGACCATGGATACTCACTATATTGGCTGGCTGGGATACCTTGGCATTCATAGCAGCATTTCCCTGGAATCTTCACTTGTTTCTGGCCATTAGGACAAACCACAGGTAAACACTCTTCAATGCTGCACTCAATATAGCCCAACTAAAGATGAAACACAGAACAAACAGATTTCTTTAGAAACAGATGGTCTGAATAGACGCGAGACCTTTCAACAACCTCAGGTGAAGTGTTGGAAAGTTAATTTGCTCATGTACTGTACTCAAGTACAATTTTGAGGTATTACTTGAGTATTTCCATTTAATGCTAGTTTATACTTCGACTTCAGAGAGATGTTTGCACATTTTAGATCATAATACCCAGTACCGTATATTAATACATCAATAACAATGATCTAATATAACTCTGGCAGGGGCCATTCTGCATAATGAGTACTTTTACTTTTGATACTACATTTTGTTGCTAATACTTCTATACATTAACTTATTGTAGTTCTGTGACTCTTGTATGGCAGCTTTGCGTGATTCAAAGTAAAAAAAAAAAGACTTTTCTCTTGTCTCATTCTAGCTCTCCATGTAGGCCTTCATTTCAGCCTCTGTCTGAAACAAGCTGTAGATGCTCCTGTCTCTTTAAGGCCTCTCCTCCCAAAGCCCACTGTCTTCTGATTGGCCAAGACCAAAAGCATGTTACCAGGCTGTTGTTGTTGCTAAACGGTACAGACAGAATGAGCGTTGCTGTGCCGTTGCTGTGCAGAGCAAATGACCATATATGGAACACCGGCTCCGTCCAGCTCCGTATGTCGTAGAACGGAGCCATTGGTAGAAACAGCAGTTCAAAACACAGCGTTCAGAACAGGAGGAAATCTGATGTTTTTGTTCACAGGGATTTCTTTTAAATACTTTAATCTCATTATTTGAAGCCTTGGCCATGTTTAACATGAACATCCAACATTGTAACATTGTAGATAAGTCATAAAATGTGGAAAAGCATAATATGTCTCCTTTAAACGTTCAGTGTATAAGTTTTAGTGACATCTAAAAGCGAGGGTTGCGATTAGCAACCAACTGCTCACTGTGCATTCACATGTTCCTCAGATGGTCCCATTTCCCGAGTTGTATAGTCATCCTTCTGACTTTGATGTGTTCATGTGCTCTCAAGTCGGAATGTGGAATCAATATGGACGCTACTACAAAGATGTGTTGGATTAGCATTATCAGAGCAATCTGATTTCTAAATCAACAACAAAAAGGCTGTGAAAATTGTCAACATATGGTCCTTTTTTAATGTCTTTATATAACAAAGACTACCCCAGGCAAATTTTTTATTATTTGTATACTGTTCTGTAACTTCTTTATGTCCTAAATAATAGGTTTGGTCCTCCATTTGTCCAAATTTCACTTCTCTTCTTACTTCTAATAAACCAAATACTACACCTAATGCTACTTCTTCTTCTTCTTGTACGTATTCAATGTAGTGACAAAACGCACTCTGTAGAGCTGTTTAACTGTTTGGGCAACTGTAGAAACATGGTGGCGCAACATGGCAACTTCCGTGTAAGGGGACCCACGGTGTATGTAGATAGAAATGGCTCATGCTGAGATAATAAAAACATAACAGATCAATATTTAAGGTCTTTATACACCACTGAAAACATAGTTATGTTATTATAATGCATTTCTGTCTATGATCCTTCTAAATATTACACACTGGACCTTTACTTAAGTAAGTACAATTTTGATCTTGTTGTGTTTTTATAGTGTGTTATTGCTTCTTTGACTTAAGTAAATTATTTGAATACTTCTTCCACCACTCCTTTGGTCTAGTTTAGGAAATCTATTGTCTAATATTAGATAAGGCCTTTAATTAGGTGTAATATGGATTATGACGTGTTCACTTAAGTGCACAAACTCTGTGTAATCTTGTTTTCTTCAGCATATGCACATCACCAGAATCAAGTCCTTCCTATTTGCCGACCTTGTTTAGAGCTTTGTACTGTCCAACTCTGTTTGTGATACCCTGACAAACGATGAGCTGGAACACTGTGGCCACACCCATCTTTTAGTGTCTTCTTTTAAATCACTCCTCAAAACTCTTTTTCAAACTTGTTTTCAGCTTGTTTTTTACATTGTCGTTTTCCCTGCGTTAACATTTGATCTACCATGTCATCTTGTAATGTAATTTTTGAAAAGTGGTTTGTAAATGTCGTTATCATTAGTTGAAACATTGCATGAGCAGTGTATTTCTTTAAGACTCACCTTGCAGGTACATCTGACGCAGTCGTCATCGCTGTCTGTCCAGCTGCTGCCGTTGGCCACACGTCTGTTCTGGCCCTCAATCACACAATCTGTATGAAACACAGGTGAATCACCGCAATCATGGACGTTTTAATTAGACTTACTTAAAATTTAAAGGCACAGAACAGACAAATAGGAAGAAAGATGGCGTTATCTCACCTTTACACACAGGGCAGCATGAGTCCGGAGGGGTGAACTGTTCGTTTTGAGGGCAAGTGAGCGGGAGGCAGTTGTGGTGTAAGCAGGTCCATGTCAGGTCCTAAATCACAGACACTGTATCACTGTACTGCACAGAATCACATGGTATGCTGTAGGGATGCACTGATCCGATATTGACTTAAATTCAGTTATGAGCGTACCACGCAATGTGTCAGCAGTGTGCTGGTAGACCCGAACATTTACTAGGATAGCATTTTTGTGCTCTTCAGCAAGCGAGCAATGTAACTTCTTTGAAAAAAGCTAGCTCAGTATTCTCAGTATGGATATCATGCTAAATGCATGATATCCATACTGAGAATACTGAGCTAGCTTTTGTATGGCAGAGGCTGCGAAAAGACCGAAGAAGACATTGGAAGAAGTGAGGAAGAGGAAAGAGAGAGTGATGGAGCGAGAGACCGGACAAGAGTAAATATCAAACTGGCTTTTACTCATTGGCGTAACAGGACAGATGCAGAGCTGGCCTTCTTTCTGATGGACTAGTAAGTAATAACTTATTAGCTGGCTTGCTGTGTCTTGTGTTGTTGTGCTTGCTTGATGCTTGCCTGTGTTAGCAGACTTGAACTAAATCAGCCACAGAGGTTCAGCTGCTCGCTATAAATCTCTGGTTGGTTACAAGATAACTTGGACATCAGTAATGTCACTGTAGGTGCTCTTGTGTCGTTTTCTGTCTAGCTTTGTTGGCTAGCTTGCCACCCAAATTTCAAATTTAAGCAACATTATGCAGCTGCGGGGTGAGAGCGGCGGGGGTATGGAGACAGGGCTAGATCGGGGAAAGAGACCGAAGAGGACATTGATGGAGGAAGCTAAGAAGTGAAAAAAAGAGTGTTCAAGATGTTGGTGAGAGCTTTGTGAAATAAAAGGTTGTAAGATGGACGCTGAGCTGGTTTTCTTTCTGTGTACACAGTTAGACTAGTAAGTAATATTGCTATGTCCTATGTTGTCGCACTTGCCTGATGTTTGGTTGTGTTAGCAAAGTTGTCAAGTCGCTAGTTTTTTAACGTAATGTAATCATAACAAATGCACATGTACAGTTGTCCTTATTTACAACAGCGGTGAATTACACTCTGACACGGTAGAAGCACCAAATTGCACCTAATCTTACAAAATGTTGCCTTACACATGATGAATAATTTCCATTGACTTCCCTACAGTAAGGAATACAGCTAATTAATTTTACACTGGTATCGAATTGGTATCGGCATCGGCTGATACCATAAGCCCAGGCATCAGTATCACATTGAGACTGAAAAAGTCAAATCATTGCATCCCTAGTATGTTGACTGTAGTTTGATCAGTGCCACTGAGATGGCAAAATATTAATATTCTTTAGGATTTGTGACAGATTACTTTAGTTCTACTGTGTTCTGTTGTTTCCACTATAGGCTATAATAAACTGTGTCAGTGTCTGTGTCTTCCTTAGCTGCAGATTGAGTTCAGAAAAAGTAATAGATCACAACAAAGTACAAGAAACGTGTAATCGCGGTGGTACCTTGCACTGGCAGGTAAAACAGGGGTCATCTGTCGCCAAGACCTCGTTGCCAATTAGTGCAGCGGTGCAGTTACTGAGAGGCTCTAAACACACACATACACACAAATGTTACTGAACTCCGTGACAGTGCAGAGATAATACACAGTGTAACACAAAATGCAGTTTAGTACTGACGTGCACAGACAGGACAGCAGGAGTCTGGTCCAGAGAACAAGATGTTGCTCTTAGGACAGTCGACCAGACTTGGACACTGCTTTCGGTAACACTTTAGGTGTTGCTGTCCGTCCGGCATTACCTGGAATACACACAGGTTGGATTACAATTACTACTATTACTTATACTACCACCACTAACTCTGCATCTTCCATATCTACTGCTTTTACCTCTGTTGTTATATAGAGCTTATATAATTCATCTATAAATTGAATGATAGAAGATTAATCAGTGACAATTTTGACAATGTATTACCGTAAAACTTTGAATAATAGCCCGGGCTTTTATTTGCTAAAATCAGACTCTGAATTGACCCTGCCTATATTTGGGACAGGCGTCCATATGGCACAGGCCTTTAATTCATTTTTCACAAAATTGAAACTACTATGAAACAGTTTATTTATTTCAAACAGAATAATACTTGTATAAAAATGATCAGATAATATCAAATACACGTCATTCATTTGATCTGGCTCTGACAGACAGCTTATGCGCTTTAATTTTGAAGTAACATCACGACAACAACAAGGTGCGGGATGAGAGAAGTTAGCAGACAGAGAGCAATGGACTTCACATGACAGGATTCACAACTTGGATTAATTTTTATGAAAAGCTGTTTAGATTATTTTGATGGGTGAACCATTAGACTAAAGGAAATAATCAAGGAAGGACACATTCGGGCTTAACGAGCGCTTCAAAGGTAACAGTAGTCATCACTTTTTTTCCCTTTCCTCTCTTGTACCAGGCAGGTTACACCGGTAAATCTATAAGAATTAGACTTTGGGGCTTGTTGTTTCCCTTAAATGAACTGAACTATTGAATTGTGGAGAATCTAACCGATCTAACGATGTGCAGCATGTTGATATGGACATATTGACCATATGTGTAAACATTAATATTTGTATTAACGATCTAAGCATCTTAGAAGCAGCTAAAGCAGGCGACCCCGCGGGGTTTAAGAGGTTTTATACATCCAAAGAACTTCTATAAAAACTAGACCAGGCGTTAAATTGAGGCCGGTGTTTATTTGTCAAAATGTGTTCCCACACCAGGCCAGTAAACAGGATAGGCCGCTATTTGGGACTCGGCTATTAACTTGTGATGGCCATTTCCCCCTATTTTCTGATGTTTGACTAAAAGATGAATCAATTAATCTGAAAAAAAAAAAATCAATATAATCACTAAGCTTTCCAGTATGTGTTGTACCTCACAACTGCAGATCTGACATGGGTCATCGGCTGGATGGAAACTGTCACCGGGACCATACACTCTGCCCTCAAATACACAATCTACTCAGAAACAATGATATAAGATTATCAAGCACCAAAAAGGCTGGGGAACAATTCTTTATGTGAAATATGCAGTTAATGTGCATTACATCCTTATTTGCTCACCAGCACACACAGGGCAGCACTCCCCGGGCACACTGATGAAGTTGCTGCAGGGAGATAGGCAGCGTACTTCAGAGCAGGTGGTCACCCCGGCCACACACATACAGTTCATACAGGGAGTGGAGTCTGCAAACCAGCTGCTGCCCTCAGTATGCTCCTCTTCGCCATACATACAACCTGAGGAGCAAAATTTAAATCACTGATAAAATTATTTCCTCCAGTGATGTTAATTTTCAGTCATCTGTTTACCTCTACAGCGAGGACAGCAGGCTCCTGGATCAGTCACCTGATGCATGCAAGACAGCTTGGGACACTCAGGAGATGCACACTGCACCTCACCTGCCTGTAGGACTCAAATAGATTAGCGCTTACACACAAGGAGGGGTGCAAATATGGAGGGAAAAGACAGAGATGGAGGAGTCAGACCTGGCAAGTGCAGGTGGAGCAGCGGTCTGAACTCAGGGTCCATGTCTGCCTGTCATTGAACTCCTGTCCATCCAGCACACACTGAGATCACAGACAAAGATAGAGATATGGAAAAAAGTGAGGACATTGGGTTGTTTTCACCCGTAATGTAATGAGGAAGTTACATTTTATCATCCTGTATATCATGAATTATTCCTCTTAAAAACCTGCTGCAGAATCATTATAATAGAGTCAGAATCAGATTCTGAATCAGATTCTGATTACTAAAAGAATATCAGACATTAGACACCTCAGAATGACAAAAAAAACATCTCCAATAAAAATTGTGATGTGCAAAATTATAGTTCTTGCTTTTATTGCAGAGACTGAGTTAGTTAGGAATAAATATTGAGGCCACAAATTTGCATCAGTAATATCTGAATTAAACGTATTGCTTAAATCGGTAGACACACTTACATTCCCTTCACACAAACAGTTCGCTAAGTACCTGTGCACTCAGGGCAGCACTGTCCTGGCTTGGTAACTGGTTCAACACAGGCTGTTGGTGGGCAGACCTGGGGCACGCAGGTGACAGTGCCTCTGACACAAGTGCAGCGCTGGCAAGGGTTGGAGGAGGGCGTGAAGGTGTGACTGTGAGATTGGACGACACCCTCATACAGACAGGAGTCACAGACGGGGCAGCAGGTAACTGAAGGGGCCGGATGGGAGCACTGGACTGGACAAGGTCTCTTCTGACAGTTCACCACCTCGTTCTGATCAGAGGAGGGGATGAAGAGACTTAAGTGGAAAGTGAAGGGCTGGAATGAATCGGACAGTTTGAATTTGGCTCATTAATTTCTTTTTCATTTAGTGAGAATTGTCAGACTGACCAGACAGGAGCACGAAGAGCAGGGATCAGAGGGCGAAGTGAAGGAGGACCCAGACTGATACTCTTTCCCCTGATGATGACAAACTCCCGTGCAGACAGGGCAGCACTTCCCAGGAGGGGTCACTGGATGCATACAGGCCACACTTGGACAAGACACATGTGTACACACCACACCACCATTCTATACACAGAAATCCACCCACACACACAAACACATTGAGGTCATCTTAATGTCTTCACAGATTCAGGGTAGTGGGATTGAAGGAATACTCCACCAAAGTACCACCTCAAACATGTTGGCCATCTTTTTATCACTGCTTAGCCATTTCATTTTTTACAAAACATTTTCTGATTAATATATTATCTCACAGGGACTTTGACGTGTTCTGTCCCTCAGCTCTAGCAACAGTGAGGTACTACTACTACCAGTTTGCTTGGGTTTCCGGTTAATTTTTAATCCTGATGGTTTTTCAGGATTAAATGCAAAAGTAAAATCTACAGTGGATACAAACTAACAATATAGTGTGTGATAGTACCAGGCAGGAGCAGAGCTGACAGGGGTCTGCAGGGTGTGGGAATCGTTCTCCATTCAAACAGTCTCGTCCATTAAAGTTGCATCCGTCACACACTCCACATGCACAGCCATCCATAGCTGGGTGAGGGCAAGCCACCGCAGGGCATCGTCGCTGTGCACACACCACCTCGCCTCTCTATGAAAAAAAAAAAGATAAGATGTACTGTAAGAGTGCAGCGAAGCAACGGCCCCAAACTAAATGCAGACCTTCTTTCTCTCACTGAGCATGTGCAGTCATGGCACCCTCCCCCCTCTCCTGGAAGGATCTGTCCGTCAACATAAGTCACACCTTGGAAGTGACAACCTGCACACAGAGTGAAACATCAATTATTTACATACTCCACATAAGATGAACTGTGATATGCTGTGAGCTGGTTACCATCACAGACAGGGCAGCCACATGCGTTAGTGACCGGGTGAGTGCAGACGGCTGGTGGACATGCCTTTTTCACACACCGTACTGAACCACTCTGTAAGAGAAAAACCTTCACATGATGTCTAAATTGATAAAACAGCAGGAATGTGAATGTGTGTGTGTATTGATGCTACCTGGCAGGTACATTCAGAGCAGAGGTTTCCTGGATCAGGGATCGACTGTCCGTTTGTGAGGACTGCGCTGTTATAGAAGCAGCCTAGAAAACAAAGCCAAGTTTATTTAGTCATCTTGTAAATAGGGGAATAATGAAGAAGTTTAAAATGAATTATCCTAAACTAGGAATGTGGTCAGAGGTTGATTTTGACTTTACATACGTTCACATTCTCCGCAGCATTGTCCGGCTGGCTTGTACGGGTGGCTGCATTCTCCATAACAGGGTATCTTAGTGCAGACGACCTCCCCTCCGTAACAGTAACATACGCCACAGGGGTCTTTGTCATCACCAAACTCTGTGCCGTCAGAATATTCTTTACCATGAAACATGCAGCCTGCAAGTAAAAAATTGGAGATTGTGATATTTTTTAGATGACAGTGGGAAGATTCTTCCTAATGGAAACTGATGACCTAAAGCTCTGTGAATCATCTTCAGTAACTGGGATTTTTTTCTGGATGTTGTTAGATTTTTTAATCACTCACCATCACAGGACATGCAGCACTGTCTCTGGACTGGGTGCTTACAGCTGGATGGTGGACAATGCTTCCTCTCACACCGGACAGAGCCCTCATGGCAATCACACACCGCACATGGGTCTGATGCGTCATCCCACGTATCCCCGTTAGCTCGCTCTCGACCCTCATACAGGCAGCCTGCAAGGGAAATGACACACATAGAAAAAAAGTGCAGTGTTATATGTGACAACTGCATCAAACTTGCTAAGATCTTTTGTTTCAACGGATAACATAATGTGCTTGTTCCAAATATAAAAACAGCTTTGTCCTTCAGTTACAGTAACTTGGCAGGAATTGTACCCTCGCAAGTCCGGCAGCACTCCTGGGTGATGGGGTGAGAACATGCGGCAAAGGTGCAGGGCTTGCGCTGACAGTGAACTGTCCCATTCGTGCAGGTGCATGATCTACAGCTGTCGGTCGGGTGGTAGAAACGCTCGGTGTGTCTGTAGTGTCGTTGTTCATATACACAGTCTGATGGAGGAGCTGTAGGAATATCAAGGGGAAGAAAAGTCAGCTGTGCGCCTCCACTATACAACTTCATATTCTGTGTTGTGTTTGGCCATGTGCCATCATCAGCCAAAAAACAAACCCAACAGCAGATTTCAGCCACAGGAGGATTACCCAGTCAATTAAATTAGGAGGTATAGCCTTTGTGTCGAAGCAAATCTGTCAGACTCTAAATCCTTCCTAGCAAACCATTAGAAACAGATGCTTTAAATATTCACATAGACCGTGTTGACAAACCAGCCAAATCACTGTGTCAAACTCCAGATGCTTTTAGAGCACCTGCAGGCACCTGTCTCTTTCACCTCATGCAGTGTCTTTGCCTCACGCCTCTCCCCCCGCGCCCCCCTGGGGAGGCCCGCACTCAGAGTTTGAGTACCACTGCTGTTGACATTTCTCACCCCTTTTCCCTCTTGTACATCCTTACCAGGACACTGTGGGCAGCAGTCTCTAGGCAGGACATTTGGGTTTGAGCAAGGCAGTGGTGGACACCTCTTCATTAGACACTGGACATTCCCATTCTGTCACAAATACAACACAGATTGAAATGAAAACCTGCTTCATGAAGACCACAAGTGATTAAAACAGCAGGGTTAGTCATGCTCATGCTCATTATTCTTACTATGCAGCTGCAGGTCCTGCATGTGTCAGTAGGATGTGGAAAATCCTGTCCATTGGGATACTCTTTCCCAGCATAGCTGCAGCCTAATAGAGGGATATTGTGCAATTGTGAGATTTTAATGTGTTATATTTTTGCGCTTTATTTTGTATTCTTAAATTTATATTCCCTCACCATTGCAGTTGGTCTGACAGCATGTTCCGGGTAAAGGCGCGTTACAGCGAGGGTGAGGACACTGGGCGTGGTGACAGTCAATCGTGCCGCTAACACACCTACACTCCTCACACACACTTTCAGGGTTTGGAAAAGTCTCTCCATTCACAAATATGTGGTTTTCAATGGAGCAGTCTGTGAAAGATGCAAACATAAAGTTTGTTACTGAATGACAATAAACGCAATCATGACAAGTAGGACTGAAATGATTCATCGATTAAATCAATTAATTCGATTACTAAAATGCATCGACGCAAATTCTTTGCATCTAGGCTTCTCTACCCTGGGAGCATTGTTTAATTAATTTAATTAATATAATTTTATAGCATACTGTTTCGCACGGACATTTATTACTGTCGCACATCGTGCCTACCTTTGTGAACACAACGTGATTTTGATGGCGCTGTTTGCAAAGTGGAGGAAGAGAGAGAAACTAGCAAGGGACGAAGAACAAAGTGTCCAAAGTATGGGAATATTTCAAGACAAAAGAAAACAACAACTCTGTAATGTTACAGTCCGTCCACCATAAAACAAAACTTATTTTGCATAACGTTACCGCAACAGGAAAGCACCCGATGTTCTGCCAGCGGACCACAGACAAGGTAACAGTAACAGCAACTTTAGAATTTAACTGAAATCATGATTAATTGTTGAGTTGAAGGCTAGCCAAAGTAAGCCGCAATCCTCAGCTGAAAATGTGAACATGTGCGTTTGTTGTTCTCCTGGTTGGGCCATGAGTTTGAGTTGTGACTTCACAGTCATGATATAACAGGGTGTCAAGGAGCTACACCTTAGTATAACTTGTATAGCACTCAGGTGATGTTTGTGTTGGTAAAGCAGTCTGATTGTTGGTCTGTTGATGTTGTTGGTCTGATGTTTGATGTATGGCACACTATGAATTTCCTAAAGGACTAATAAATATCTATCATATATCAACTTACACAGCTGATCCCGTTACCGGGGTGGGGGGCAACGCCGACAAGCAAAAATACCTCTTAATTGATGATTAGAAAAAAATCTATAGAAGCTTTCAGTACTAAAATCATTGTTAGCTGCAGCCCTAATGACAAGATCTGTTTGAGTACCTGGACATTTAGGGCAGCACTCTCCAGGTGGTGTGTATGAGTTGGAACAGTTGAGTGGAGGACAAGGTCTTCTCTCACACTCTACACTGCCATGCTGAGGAGAACAGAAAGCTGGATCAGCTGTTTTTAAAGCTGAATAGCACTGTGTAGTGTGTGTGTGTGTGTGTGTGAGAATGGACACGTACTCACCTGACAGGTACAGATGTGGCAAGGCTGGTCAGGGGTTGCAAACCTCTGGCCGTTGCTATAGATACGATGGTTATAAGTGCAGCTTTCACACACTGCACAACAGGAGCCTAATGAAACGAATGAGATGTACAGAGGTTACACAGTGATCTGCATGTAAACAAAGCTCAGACACCCACAGTCTTACCAGTGAGCTTGGTGGGATGCAGGCACTCGATGGGAGAGCAGAGTGTGAGTGTACACAAAGGGTGTCCATTCACACAGGTGCAGCTGGAGCAGGGACCCTCAGGGTGCCATTTGGAGCCTTCCTCATATTCTACACCATCCAACACACACGCTACAATGAGAAAAGAGGGGTTGTCATATATTCATTGATGAGTGGCCTCTGTGTGCATGTGTGTGTTTGTGAGTGCATTATTACCTTTGCAGATTGGACAGCAGAGATGTGGGTCTATAATGGGATTGGAGCACTTGACAGGAGGACAATTCTCTTCATGGCAAATGACATTCCCACTCTATAACAGATATGACAACATTATCACAAGTGTGTTTCAGTTTATAAGCGCATTCAGCACATCAGGCGATATTTTATAAGACATGAGACAGTCCCTTGTGAATGAAGCCTAATGCACATTTGCTCATTAAACTGAACATGTTTTGGACAACAATCCTCAAAGTTTCACCACTTTCTTCTTGAACTGTACGGACTTGCCTTACACCTGCACTGCAGGCAGGGTCCAATTCCAGCAGGGGTGAACACTTTTCCATCAGCGTACACCCTCCTGTCATACTCACATTCTGTGGGAACAAATACAAACTCTGATTATGTTTCCTTTAAATTGAAGAGTAAAGGTGGAATTGGACCGAAAACAAACTTGACAGACATGAGGAAATTGTATATTTTTGACCAGATTTAAAGGTATACTGACCATCGCATGTGGGACAACACTCTCCTTTGCGCTTAGCTGGGTGGCTGCAGCGCAATGTGGGACATGATGAATCCATACGCTCACAAGACACTTCACCTGCCTAACAGAAGGGATAAAATGTGTCGCTGATAAACCTATATATAGTATGTTTTATCTAATGTATACTGTCTACTATCTAGTGTCTATTGTCTGCGTTTGTTTTTAAATGTGAGGATGACTTGTCTATTGCAAGGACAATTTTACCGACAATTTAATAAACTGAACCTGAACCTAAACTAGAGCTTGTCCGATAAATCTGCCAGGCAGGTATTAGCTCATTGCAGATATATTGATATTGGTGTGAATGTTGGCCGATACATAACAAGAACTTGCAGGACTGAAATGCTAAACTAGGTTTGAGGTACTCAGTGTCTACATTACATAGTTTGTCCACCAGATGGCACTCATAAATTAATGTTTCACCTGTAAAAAGTCCCGCTCAGTATTGTATACTGGTCACAATTTTTTACACAAATAAATGTAAGGGGGCCATATCAACATTGTTTGTTTAAGTTAAGTCAAATTTAATCAACTTCTGAAAGTGAGAGAGGTTTTGACAGATTTGTATGATGTATTTTACTTATTTTACTTGGCTTATGTTGTGTTTTGAGAATTCTTGTTTTGTTGTTGTTGTTGTTTTTATAGTGTTCCAATGTACTTGTTCTGTATATTTCATAATTTTTAAGGTTTCAAAACATCTTGCTGAAGGACTGCTGTTAAAAATTAGCCAGTAGGCTAACACTGGCACATTTACAGTAATGTTAATGTGTGCTGTCCTTATAAATAAATAAATAGAAACCCCTGGGTCATGAAACCATCATGAGTCCAGTCACATGAATATCACATAACCAAAAACCTTTGCCAGACTATAACTCACAGAGCAGTGACATTGGAGGCAGGGGTCTCTCCTGGAGGGGAACCTCTGGCCATCGACATACACCTCGGACTCATATTCACACTCCTCACACCTACAAGTCACATATACACAACATAGACGTTTCAAACTTTCAGTTGTCTTGAAACCCTCCAAGGACAAGAATAAGGTGGACTGATGCAGGCTTGAAAGTGACATGGATGAGGTAAGGGAAGTTGTTTACCGTGGGCAACAGTCGCCAGCACGATGCACAGGGTTTTGACAATGCAAGGCATGACAGGGAAGGGGTAAACAAGCCACATTTCCATCCTGGAAGAGAAAGATATACTAAAGATAACCTTTAAAGTAAAAAGATTTCCAAATTTTTTTTTTTTTTTTTTAACACACAAATGAAATTTAGTGTTGAAAATGATGATAAATGACATACCACACATGTACACTCTAGACAACGGTCTCCAGTAGGGATCACAGCTCCGTTAGGGAAGTCGTGACCATTGACACCACAGCCTACAAGACACACACAAGCTCACGCTGTGTCTCAGCAGTTCACTCAAACAGCTACAGTGAATTAAAGAAACCTACCTTGACAAACCGGACAGCAGGTATTGGGTGGAGGAGCACCTGGGTTTTCACATGGGGTGTTACACTGCTCCCTCTCACAGTGGACACGGCCCTCCTGTTGAGAGGAAAGAACAAAATCAATGCAGATGAAGGTGATAGAAAGAGGGAAAGTTATATGGCCAGTCGTTATCAGACCCACCGAACAGTGACAGACGTCACAGGGATTCTCTGCTGGCCTCCACTCGGCTCTGTGATCATACTGGACACCAGAGTGGATACAGCCTGCAAACACATTTGACATTAGATGCAAGTAAAGAAGTTAAATGTGAATTCAACACCAGAACACATACCATGCATACACCTTCATGTATACCCAAAACAATCTTGCCTATCAGCTTGGATAAATTGACTAATATCACCCCTTAAACTCTGGAAGCACATTTGCACCCTCGGTTATCTGTGAGGTATTTTTGTGGTTAGTATTATATTATAAACTGTCCACACACTGTAGTAATATAGAGAAGTGTGGGTCTTGTGTAGTTGGCTATGTTCTTTTTAATTAGAGGGGTGTCAAATGAAGATTAACCTTTGATGATGAGCCCCTATATGCATCCTGTGCAGACATAATATTGATGTTATTGATGATTGGTCCATTGGACCTAAATGAAGTTTTTCAAGTAATTTACTAAGGCACATTTAATGTTTTGTTTGATATATCTTTCTCTAACAAAGATTGTTGCGTACAGATCTCTTTTCCTGTGTCCTTACCTCTGCATCGCTGGCAGCAGTCTCCAGGTACAGTCTCCTTCTGTGTGCAGTCCAGTGAAGGGCAGTTTAGGGGATGGCATTCCTGGTTACCCCCCTGTTGGCAATGAAAGGACACAGAGATGAGGGAAAATGATGAACAGAGAAGACCAAAGCAAAAGACTTTGTTAGTGTAGCTGTATGTCAAATACTCACCTTACACGTACATGTCAGGCAGCCATCTAGAGTGCCGTAGGACACGTTATGAACTGCACCATCCAGCTCACACTCTGAAGATAAAACAGAAGTTTAAGTGCATACACATTTTTGAGCTGGCTGATGCATATCCCACGTGATAATCCACATGTGAAAAGAGTATCCTGATAGTTTAAGCAAGAAAAGACGAATGTGGAAATAAATCTGACCATTACAGCTGGTCCCTCTCTGCGGAACAATGTAGATTTCCTTCACCTTTTCTCTAGTCTAGGTCACTGGGGAACATCTGGCTCTGCTCTGTCTCCAGTAATGACAAAACAGCATGGTTCTGATGTAATAAAGATGTGCTTGCTCTCACACACACTATGTTTTATGTGCCAAAACTATAACCAAGTAACCCCAGCCGTCCAGCTGTTCAAGACTACCACCGACAAGTCTATTAACATGGAAAGATATTTACTGGGGGATAAACAGGAAGAAAACAGGGTAGAAGTTTTGTGGAGGATATCCTACAGGACGGATCAGATCACAGCCCTAACAACTTCCCCCATTATGTGGCAGTCTATTCAGATAAAAAAAGAAAGCTGTTTACAGTAAAGCACATACCGAAAACTGGAGAGCAATGTGGCTCAATTTTTATCATCAAAGACTTTGAGGGAGCTCATCAAAAAGTGTTAGTCTTAGCTTGGACATTTCAGCAGATAATTACTTTAATGACAAGCCTCCAAAGGACAGAGACAATGTGTTGTGTGTGTGTATAAGAGAGGGCAATAATCACAGAGTGAGTTAGAAGCTTGTGAGGCTGCCTACTGTGCCAACAGCCAGCAGGCATTTCCTCTAGCAAGCCAAGCATGCATGAGATCAAAGTGTGTGTAGGAGTGTGTCTGCGAGGGTGAATCAACTGGGTGTCATTGGAGTCTTCTGGCCTACATGCAGAAACAATTAAGGGGAAGATGGATGAAAAGGCGGAGGCAGTGACACAGAGAGTAGTGAAGGGGGGTGAGAGAGGGGGCAGTAGGATGTTTGGTCACGTGTATTACATGTATGGCGAAAATGTGCACTATAAGCAGGACAGAACAAAGTTTACATAACTGTGAGAGTGGGGAGTAAACTTGGGAAGGGAGAGAAAAAGAGAGACAGAGTTCCTTAATGAAGACAGTCCAACATCAATTCCCACATTTGTTTCACTCCACTGTGACAGGCAGTTCTACAGTTACCTCAAATGCACCAACAGGGAAGCAGCTCACAACTATACTACCAAACAACAACAAGGTACTCTAAAACTTACAGTATGCTAGTAATACAAAAGTCACAGACAAAAACATGTAAACCTACTAGGATGGTGTTTTAAACCTGTATTAATTGATTTTTTTGCACACTTGGAGACAGAGCAACAAGCTGTGAACATAACATTGAAAAATTATAACCCTTATAGACTTGACATGGTGAACGTCTCAGCAAACAGCTGCCTATTTACACCACCAGCTGTCACAAGCTGCATTAGCATTCAATTAGTCGTGTTTCTGCCCATCTGAAGAATGTCCAAAATTCACTCTCTTGCTCTGTTTTCAGCCTCAATTCCTGAGGGAAAAATCTTTCTCTTTAGCAGTTCACCAGCCAGTGGCTAACTTTGTCTGTCCGCTGTTTGGAAGCATACGCAGTTTGTTATAGAGCTGTTTTGCTAAAAACAACTGCCTCCTGCTGCTGGAAACAGTGTTAGTGAGAGTGGTAAAAGTGAACCAAAACAGGAAAGTTTTTGATACTAAATACTAAGATGCTCCATAGAATGGAGGGGAACTGCAGAGCAGTGTGATAATTCTCTGTCGATTTGTTGCTACTATCAACACCCTTCACATTAAACTTTTTCATTTGATCCATCATTAATATAAAATTGTTGAAACAGGAACCACAAAGTTGTTGTAAAATTATAATAATAATGTTTTCAGCTCAAAGTTTTGTGAGATTGATATTAATAGTTTAAGATAGAAAATTGACCAATGACAGCCTAGCAAGTGGTGTGTTTGTCCAATCAGGTCTAGGTAGGGGTCATGGTTATGTCTATGGTAAGGAAGGCACTTGCCATAAATCAACTGTGCAACTTACTTTAAATGATGCCTTTCCCAAGTAAATGCCTACTATTAAACATCAAATTGTGGGCTGGCTTTGCAAGGCCATTGCCACTTTCTTCTTGTAATACTGATACCTGTGATCTGGTGTGATTGGAAGCCATACGTTACTCTTATTTTGACTAGCTGTCGTAACAGTATCATCACTTTGTGGCTTAATTTGTTCCATCCATTCATGCTCTAGTTGATCATTCAGAGCACTGCATTTGTCCGGATCAAAAGTCATCCAGTCCTGCCTGGCCCAGTGCTGGGGCAGGGAGGTGATTCGAGGGCAGGTACGGGTGATGCGGTTTAAAGCTTGGTCACTGGATGACATCAACTGTTGCTGCGTGTGGAAGAAGAACCACAGGTAGTGTGGCCCATTGAAAAACCAGTTGCACCTGTCCTTGTCGTAACCATCTGTTCGAAAGCCAAATGCATCCATCCCTATCAATGAAGTCCCGGTTAAAGCCATCTTTACCATAGCCCCACCTGTCCCAACCACTCCGGTCATAGCCATCACGATCATATCCATAGTGGTCAAAACCATTGCTATCAACGTCCCCAATCCAAAACTATTGTGGTGACGGTTGTGTTTGTCAAAACTATGATTCTGATATTTCAGTTGTGTGTGTGTGTTGGTAACTGTGTCATATTACAAGGTGCACCAATGGTTATGGGCGCATATACAATACACATCTGCTGTTGGGATGAAAACACATCATCGGGGGTAACATCAAAAGGCTTCATCTTCACATGCCTCCATTTGTCAGGGTAAAGGATGTTACCCTGACTGTCATTGTCTCTAGAAGTTTGACTTTTTGATCCATGCTGATGTTTCTCTTGCCACTGTGCCCACAGCTTGTCCATGAATGCCATGTGTGACAGGTATAAAGGATCATAAGCTGCCAAATGTGAAGCCATATGACCCTCTACCCAAAGCCGGAAGAGGCCAGAAAATGTCTGCAGAGACTGGGAGAACACTTGGAAGTCTGCCTGGTTAACAGTCCTCTGCAGGGTCACTGCATCTGGCAGCCACACCTAAAGTGATCAATGGTAGTCAGTTAGATAAACCTGGCACCAGTAATACAGCTCAAAATCCTGCAATGTATAGTACAGTATTAAAGTGAGTTGGGCTGTCAAAGGAATAAAATCTGTTTGACAAACCGAGGAGTTGAAACTCCGTCTGAGACAAGGGGACCAGTGGAAACGTGATGTCAAGCCCTGGAAAGGGTGATGTGGGATGCAGCCAGAACCAGGGTCACCATCTCCTCCAAACAATCCAGCCTGCCAGGCAGCTGAGAACTTCATTGACCCAGAGTCCACTGTCCACTCAAAAAATGAAAGTGCCAGTTTGCAAGATGAAATTGACTGCAGCTCTTGCTCCACTAATCGCAGGAAGTAGCAGTGCCAGGGGAGGAAGAAGGCGTGATCACCAGCCAGAGGGGAGAACTCAGCTCTCAGCAGTGCAAAGCCCTTCCACACAGCTAAATCCACATACAAACACACACAGAGACACAAATAAACCCATAATAAAGATACAAAAGGTATAGATTGAATTTCAAAAAGGTAAGAAACAAAATTTAGATTTACAGTCTGACCTGACTTGGAGTAGAGTTTCATGATAGCCCGTTGGTACAATCTCATCTCTCTTAGTGTGAGGTCTCTAATCTCTTTACGCCGGGTCAGGTGTCTGCATGCACAGTCAACTCTGCCACAACATTTGCATGTGCAGTCTTCACAGCTTTGCCTGAACCTTTCCCCGTATCCCCATAGCTTGCGTTGAAGGAAGCATCCACAGCATCCACCACATTTCATGTCAGAACACTTCACTCCAGGAGAGAAACTCATTACTTGTGCATCTCCAGCTTGATCCTTCATCAAAGCTTGGCACTGTGTTACAGTGAGGTAATCACAGGTAAAAGTGAAATCCGGATCCCTGCAGCAGTCTATCCTTGTTTGGTTTCCTTTAAGATCTTCCAGCTCAGTACAGTTAAAGTCCATGTTGCTATTCCACACTTCATCCTCCAAATTATCCTTGTTGTGTGGCCAGAGAGTCCTGTTCACAGAGGAGATGTTGTATTCCTGTTGAGTGTAACGCTGGTGGCCAATGGGCCACCCTGCCTTCGAGGCAGCACGCACCCAACATGCACTGGTCCCTACAGGCATTAAAGGAAGGGAAGTTGTTGTTGCTGTTTCCTGTGCAGTAGCGGAAGTCCTCACAGAGGCCAGAGGTAGGATTAAAGGCCCAGCAGCGTTGAAATGGCTGTACACCTTCACAGTTGTTCTCAGGTTTGGATACCCAACAGGCCTAGAAGTGGGGAGGGGGGACACATGGCCTCTTACCCAGCCTTAATCCCCACTGCATAACCCCTAGCCAGAACTGACAAAGGACAAAAGTAAAGCAAAGCACTACTATTGGACTCATCCAATGCAGCAGGCCAAGCAATGAGCTACAGCTAAACCATGAACAAATAGCAGACAATCACAAGCGTGATCTAACAACTAGATCAGTTACATTAAAGAAATAGTGTTACATTTTGAGAAGTCATTCACATCCCCGCTGAAAGTTAGATGAGAATATTGAAACCACTCTCATATCTGTCTATTAAACATGCCTGGAGACATTCAAGTTTGCTTAGCGCAAACACTGGAATGAGGGGGAAACAGCTAGCCTCACTCTGTCCATAAACATATCTGCCTGTCAGCACCTAGGAGATTGGTATCGATGTTCTTATAGAACGATTTCCCAAAATGTCTAACTTACTACTGTGGTAGCACCTTGCCTTGTAGCAAGGTATAATGGGAAGTACAAACAAAATGACTTAAAAGAAAATCCTAAAACTATAAGAAACTATAAGACAACTGCAGTAACAGAAGGGATTTCAAACCTTCATTTTCATTTGTGACTGTGACCCACCTCAAGCATTTGAAAAGTTCTGGTGACCTGCCGGGTAACCAAACATACAATAAGCACATCTTAAAAATTAACACAATTAAACACTTAAACTGTAGACAAAACTGGAAAAAGCACAGAAGGACACATGTTCAACATTTGCATGACCAAGACCATGACCATTCTAGCAGTGCTTTGATCTAAAAGCAAATAATAACATCAGCATGGTAACATGCTTACAATGGCAATGCTAACATGCTTATGTTTATGTATAATTTACCATTTTCTCCATCTCAGTTTAGCATGTTAGCATGCACACAAAGTACTGCTGAAGCTGATGTCATTAGTTTAGTTTAGTTTCTGTACACATTTTCATGGCAATCTATTCAATAGTTGAGATGTTTTGGATTGAAGGGGTGACCTCGAACAACTGACATTACTGTCCCAGGACATTACACACAGCATGGCTAAAAAACCCTGGAACTGATACACACATTTTCACAACATGGACGGAAAGGTCTGACACCAAACTTGTTGTTTTCTAACACTTTATATACTGTATCTACCCTACTCCTCTAATATTGGCAAAAAAATACCTGTCCCAGCTGTCTGTGACACACTGGTCCCTTGGTGTTGGGAGGACAGGAGCAGTAAAACCCAGCGGGGTCAGAGATGAAAAATACGCCTCTGTTTTGACAGGGGTTAGACAGACAAGGTTCTGGGAGAGGTATGTCCATCTGCAAACTACTTACTTAACACCAGTTCAATGTGTGTTAGTGTTTGTTGAACGTGCACCAAAATCATAGGTAGGTACTTTATTGTGTGTTGTTGTAGGTGTGTGACAAAGATAAACAGAGAAAGCAAATGAGGGCAAGAATGAGGAAGAAAAAGATAACTGTCAAAACCTGAGTCGTTATTACCTTTGATGTTTGGTTGGCATGCAACCTTTCCAGATGTGCACGTACACACAATGTTGGGGTCAGTCTGCCAGCGCTGGCCATTCTCCACTTCACGCCCCTCCCACACACATCGCTGCCTCACACACTCACATCCCTCCAGGTACTGTACACGTGACTGTAGGTCTGCATTCTGTAGAAAAAAATAACGCCATGTCACATCACTTTATATCACTTGACTTAAGTATTGACTTATTCTAAGTGCAATACTTTCCTGAGTTTTGACCATGTCCACCATACGTGCCAGTTCCTCCAGCCTCTTCTCCAGGTTTGTCAGCTTGTCATCTTTTTGTGCCTGAGAAACAGACTTTACCCCTTGAGGAGATCCTGGGGCCCCCAGCACCACACCTCTCTGCAGCTGGTCACTCTGGACGTCCTGGAGATAATGGTTGGTTTGGTCCAATGGCCTGTGGCTTGTATGTTTCCTGGGGGGTGCATCCTGCTGGAACATTCGACTGCTGTCAGTCTGAGAATCTGAGCCATGGGAGTCTGTGTACTGAGATGGATGCAGATCATCTGGAAAGAAAAAGCAGAAATTAGTGCGAGAAGAGGGTGCTTAATAATTCTTGAATGATTAAAAGAGCAAATTTGGAGCCTAAACAAACATCCTGGTAACATACTGTCAAAATGAAGGCCCACACTGAGGAATAATAAACAAACTGACTGGGGGACTTTCTGCCTGAGGGTCAAAAGATATGATCTTATGCACATCAACTACGGTGGTCCCCCTACTGAGTTTTAACTCACTGTGAGAACAAGAGGAGTATCTCACTTTTCAGTGAGATACTCATTTCAGACAGTTTTATTAATATTTATTAATAAAGTTTATCCGTTATTTATTATGTTCATGACAAGAAACTCTTCACTGACAAGAAATCACTGAAAAATTATTTTCATGTCTCCCAGTGCAAGAGAACTCAAAATATAATAAATGATCCGGGTCAGTAATGAAGAGAAAGAATGGAGCAAAAGGAAATGAGAAGGGAATGACACTGCATCCTCTGGCCCCCACAGCATGCTGTTACTGATTTATTGATGCATACACATACTGTATATAGTATCCAGAAGAAAAGGAAATCAATCACTGGAGACAGTGAGACCGAAAAT